TTGACAATTGACGGAGGCCTCCAGACGTCCTCGATGTTTAGAAACAAAACTGGTGAGCTGCCTTGTATTCCCTTTTCTAAAGCGAGACCATTTGTTTTGTTCTTCCCTTTTCTAGTTACCACTCCACACCAGAGCCTCATTGCCATAGTCCCAAGTTTTGTTTACCTCTACCAGATCTTTACTGATTGCCTCATTCTTTTTCCATGAGCACTTATTGAACCTCAAATTATGCAGCTTAGCTTTTTGTGTTTCTGATCTAGTTTCAGCATCTCTTTGTTAACACCCTCTGGTCTGGGAATCTCATCAGGCTTTTATTCTCCAAAATTAGACTAGATCACGATGTTTCGGCCCCATGTGCCCATTTTACTCAAGGCATACACAACTAATTGGTTGGGATGGAGATTGCAGGTTCTTCTACCGAAGCTCTGCCAAGATATTTAATGAAGTTATGAACTTATGTATCAAACAGGCTATAAATCAAGTGAGTAAATGCATAAAACTACCTCCTATTTGTTAATCCCGGAAATGGTGTTAATGGATCCTGGAACAGAGATGTCTTTTAACTGAAGTGAAACAGTTCCTACGGAGAAACGCCCATCTCCGCCAGTGAGCGGGTGGCATTGACGTAGATATACGGAAGTTTCATGGCAGACGACAACAACTCTGCCCAGTACAAGTTGAACAGAATGTTTGATTTTACAAAGAAATTTACTTCACCATGCACTGCAATGTCGACGTCGCCTCGTCTTCTTATCCTCAACTTCAACAAGAATAGATCCCGTTAGTCAATAAGATCATAGCTCAGTTGGTCAGACGGCAAGCATAAATCTCAAAGTTTTCGAGTTGCGTTGCTGGGACTTTTAGAGACATTTTTTCAAGATTCACTTCAGATTATCCCTATCCTAATCAGCATAGTCGTCTCTTTCGGACGAATTCTTTGGCATTATTTAGCATACAAATGTGATCAATGTGCTTCGTAAAAATTTACTGTTTCTCGGTTCCATCATGACATGGTTGGAGTATTTTTCTCATCATTCTGATAAGAATTGATATCCATCCTACCACCGTTTAAAATATGGTTAGAAGCCACTTTCAGTCATGCGATACAACATTTTAAGCGAATTTGGAAATTCTTTATTACTTGTAAGCCTCTCTGAGTTCGCAATATTCTGCTTACTATTTGGCTATAAAAAAATGGATTTTAGTTGCTTGTGGCAGCTAAAATTTCTAATAACTTGACACTTATGGAAAAATTGGCTATTGTAATTTCATAAAATAATCAAATTTTATAGCAAACATGATCGTCTTCTCGATATATCTCCAGGACTTATGAGGTGTATCAATTACCCTTCTGGATTGTCTTTCCATTCGGATTAAATATTAGACCCAGGCGACGTCGAAGCTGCAGTTTGCCTTAAACAAAAGCCCACTTTTGGAATATCTATCAAGGTGAGCTCATACAGCCTAGAGAGCTACGTTGCCCTGGAATGTCATTATGCGCTACTCAGGTCATGAGCTAAAATACGACCTCGGATTCTCTTTAAATTTATCTATGCTTAAGCATATGTTGATGAGTAGTCCATTTCATAGGAATGTCTTTTCACTTCTACTTCTTTACTAGCCTTATACATTTCTTTCTTTTGCAGTTGACTCTTTTTTCATGAATACTGAATCCTCGGCTGCCACTCTACCGTACCACAAGAGCTTATCCGGACCTGAAGCCTTCGCGGAATTCAGTCTGACTGACGAACCAGCCGATTCCAGTGGCCCGGAGACATGCTCACTCCCGGCGAATGACGTTTGTCCCTCTGAGGTGGACTCATCTGGCCGGCCTCCTTCACACTGCCCGATGAGTGCTTATACCATCACTTCTGGTGTGCGTCTGGGGCCACTCTCTCGACACCAACACACATGTGTATCTGGCGCGCCTTTCACCTCCGGAGGAGGTCAAGACGGCTTGGAAGGTGTGTGGGTTGCAGGAAGGCGTCGCTATAAGGAGGAGAAGGTCAGTCTGCGTCTGGGAAATGCCTGCAAGGAGTCAAGTCTGTATGCTGAGTCAAATGGCAGTGTGGGAGAATCGCATCATGAAGCTGATGGCGAGTGTGACAGTTATGTGAACACACATGACTTTGTCCCAAGGGCATCTCGCGATGCCAATCTCGAAAGTAGACTAAACGATTTGGAGGAAGATCAGCAGGCATCGGATCAGAAGACATGCTATCCTGCCGAGATCGTTAGGCGTAACGAGGTACTTTACTTTTTTTTAATCCAAGACAGCTTTTTAGTTCGGAATCAAAGAGTAGTGAAGATAGTTTGGGTTCGAATTCGTTTTCACGACTTTGCAGGATCATTAGGAAGACCTTGTGGAACCTCCCAATTTATGCTTCCTCTGCCAGAGTATTCGTGCTTTCCAGCATCGTAACATTGACTTGATGCATCGCCAAGGAGAGGCGCCATCGTTAGCCTATAGTTACAACTTATCAAAGGGACAAGTGAAAGCAATCATCTTAGCCAATTTTTGTGCTCAACCGTTACGCCATCACTTCTCGCCCTTAGTCATTATCTTAACTTATCTTGCTGCATTTCCTTCTCTCAGCCCTACCTTATATCGTTCATTTACCTATTTACATCATTCTGTACTCTCGCTTCCTCCAATTTCATCTAAAAGTGTGCCGCTAGAAGTGGATTTCACGAAGTCTAATCACCTCCACCACCGATTTCGACTGCCGTTCTGTGCTTCAAGCCATTCAAAAGTGGAAATGGGAAGCTGTACTTTTTCACATCAACGGTTCCGAATTGTGCCGGACATAGCCCCAAAGAATGCAAAACAATGGCGATGAGGATGAGAAATAGGATTATTGGGTGATTAGTCTGAAGTTTAGGGGTAAGAAGATGACTAGGCATGGGCATCATCGACTCTGAATCCTCGAATATATCATGAATGGGGAAGTGAATTTTAGGCTCATAGGCAGCCAGATTTCAGAAAGTCAGACAGTCATTTTTACTTATAGCAGGAATCAACTTACAATCGAGGTGAAAGAAGGGGGCTAAATGATCGAAATGAATCCACGACCCAGAAGCCCTGCAAACATCGTCCGAAACCGGTAGTGAAGGGGATTACGCTTCACTAAATTCACTTTTAACGAAACACTCTTGGGTGATATTGGCGAAAACAAGAGCACAGAATGGTGTAATTGGGTAATTGTGCGATATGAAGTTGGGTTGGGAGAAATATATGCAATAGTAGAAGAAAGAACAAAGACTAGGGGCAAGGAATGGTGCTACAACGGTTGAACATAAAATTGATCAAGAGGATTACCTTCACTTGTCACTGATAAATTGTAACTCCGTGTTGACAATGGCATCTCTCACTGAGGATGCTGGTGAAACGTTTGGGAAAATACCGGTTCAACTGTCCGTTTCTGGAAATCATGAATATTATGGTAGAGGACGCAGGACTAGGTAAGCTCTACGAGGTTTCTCCGACGCTCCGACCAAGTTGCGAAAATGAGGTCGGACCAACACTATAAAGCTAAAGGAGACTCCGACCGAACAGAAGACCACACCATCTTGGTATTCATATCTACTATTTAATTATAATGATTCAAAATAATCACAATATAAAAACTTGACGAAATTAAGACAATCATGATCACACAGAATTTTATCACAAGGCCTAGTTTCTCCGATGTCTACCACAGACAGCGAAACAAGGACTTGGGTTAGGAGCTGGACTTAGATGCTAGCATGTAGGTAATTTGTCGAAATGAAGGCTGTCAAAGGTCAACTGAATGTGCTTTTTTTGGAAAGTCGGTCAGCAAGCAGCAACAGCTTGGTGGCCAAATCACATGCCAAGACTCATTCGCACCACTTAAATTTACCCTACCCGAAGCTCATCTCTGGATTTGGGCTGGGTCTCGGCAGCCAGAATTGGGACTCATTATCACCTTGATAGTTCTACTTCAATGAATAACTGATCAATCTTTAAAGCTTGAGTTTTAGTTGAATAATTTATTCCTGATCAATTGCTGAGTCTTTTTTTCATGGAGTTTGCTTTGTCATTATATGTGAAGGAAGGTCACTATAGACGCTCATACTAGTTCTAATTTCATATATAAAAATATAAGAGGGACTTATTTTAGCGAGGTTAAACCTATTTATGTGCATTATCTTGACTTTATTGCAGCTCATTGTATATCAGGAAAGCTTTCACTAATCCCTTAAAGTATAACAATTGCTGAAATGACGATGCACTTGAGGGAATTACGAGCTGTCACGTTTGTCGCATCCTCTGGATAGGGAAATAATAAATTATTGTCCTTACAGAATTTATACCTATAGTATGATCAGCTTACATGCCAAATATTTCTGTAATTAGATCGAGATATGGTTGAGATCTAATGATTCTAAACCTTTTTTTAGTTTAGCTACTTCATTAGCCGCTTAAGTGCCTAAGCCCCGAGTCAACGTAATCCTGAAATCCACTCTTGTTGGTCCGAAAATGAATTTTTTTAATAAACACTTACTTATTGTCCACGCCCTAAAAGTCTCAGATAGTTGCTTCCTCTAGAAGGTGGTATTTGAGACCTTCATTTGCTAGTTTTTTTTCTTCATGTTCCTTTCGTAGATCTGCTTTGAGCATGCACACTGGCGCATGACCGAGACGGATGGGCAAATTGGGCTAGCCGACGTCGAGTTGCGAGGCTTTCTTTACGTGAAAACTCATCGGCAAGATGACTCTGGTTCTCACTGGCTTGAACTCGGCTGGATCCGTGTAGCCAGTTTGGCTCCTAACTCCTTCTACAAGGTATGCTTTCGTCTGATAATATTAGTGTCTTAAAAGTTAGTGCCTAGAATTTTGATTTGAATATGTTAAAATGGCATGTGAACCTTCTGATATTTTTATTTAGTCTTGATAGCTATGCTAAACGACTTCTTTCCCATTCAATGCTTTTACTATCGTTTAGTTTAGACGCTAGTCTCTTTATAATAAGCACACCCAGATTTTAAATATTACTTTCGGGTGCCAGTGAGAGCTACAAGAGCTTGAAATTACGATACTTCTTGGACGTAAATCATCTTTTGGAATTATTATACAATTGAGCCTTTATCCTTACCTCAAACTAAGTGATTAATTAATAATACTTGCAGAATCATACGAAAAATGGTCGATCCCATCAGCATTCTTATTCCTCAAAATTGCAAGTAGCCGAGTAATAACTTGCCTTTTTTTATTCTTAATACTTATTTTTCGTTTTTTAAAAACGCTTTTCGAGAATACCAGCAGATCTGATATAAAAGATGTATTCATCCTTTTTTGTGTAAGATGATGAAGGACTGGACAGGTAAGGCCTACTTATATATTGTGTGAACATTTATCGAATATCCCTTCATCGCCTGTCGATACAGCTTTTACTACTTATGTTTCTGTCTTCATTTTACACACATGTGCATTTCGTTTTTTGGTGATTTACTGGGTTTTACTTATTATTCGTACATAAGTAGAGTTTCGAGACTGCCAGTGAATCAGTTATATGAGATGTATTACCCCTACCAGTCCTTCATCATCTTAGACGAAATATGATGAATACATCTCATATAACTGATTTACTTATTCTATTTAGATCACTTATCGAACCTTGCCTTCTGACTGCAAATTCTAATTCATAGTTCTTTATAACATTACATGAACATTGATGGTAGAGGCTCTGATCTGATAAAATTTGATGACAAATCGTAGTACTTCAAGCATCTGGTCAAAAGATTCTGGTGCTTTCTAATTAGTTCAATAGTTCTAAATTTACCTTAGGTCTATTGACGAACCAGATTCAATTTTCACCTTACGAGAACTTTGATTTAAAATTGAAATATTATATATTTATGAATATTTCATTCTTTGCATTTAGGAAGTGCTAGTTCCCGATGTTTCTAGCAGCCAGTACATCGGCGGACCAATTCTGCGGATCGCCTGTTCGCAGCGTCAGCCAGTTGGTGGAATTTCGGTGAAGGAGGCCATGGAAATCAGTATCGCACCTTTCAGGCTCCAGGTAAAACACAGTGTTTCTGTTTAACGGAGCCACGGATGTAGGCCCAAACTGTTTTCCTTTTTCTGTAAAAAAATCTAATTTTTGTCCTAAATGGACATTCTTAGTATCTGGATTATTATTGTTCAATTTAATCTTGAAATTGTAGTTACCTCAGTTTCATATGCTTAATAACCACTCTCACATAACTCGAACCAAACTAGCGCTTACAATTTTTAATGTTAATTAATTGAAGTAGTAAATGTATTGGAATAACTTAAAGCTAACTATTGGTTTGTGAGATGTATGATCTCAAGTAGATCTAGCCAATCTTCTACCGGGTACTAGAGTCACCTAACCGTTCTTACTAGTTTTTAGAAAATCACTTGTATCTTAACTTTCATCGAACTCTTTCAGCTTCCTCAAGGCTAAATTTTTTGTTGCATTATATTAATATAAACGGCTTTTCTTTTGTTCATTGGCGGATTTTCCACATGTGGCCCACAACAATAACAAGTATTTATCATATGTTGTTTAGCTATATTAAGTAAACAAACTTTAGGATCATATTTTCAACCAAATTTCTTCTTCTAAATATTATTTTGGCATATCACCAAATTTATTAATCTGACTTCTTAAAATATTGGAAAATTGTGGAATTGTAAGGCTACTAACTTTTAGTATTTTAGATGGGCAGTTTTGTTTTGCTAACTATAAGACTATATTGATATATTTTCGTGGTTTCGTATTAATTTAAATTAGCTTCAAGTCATTGTCTCATCTAGCTTCATAGTTCGCTTAAGCCAATATTTAATAAAGTTTTATATTTTAAATGAATATAAAGGTATAAAAAAGTTAAACATTATATTTGACACTATTATAAAGTGTATATTCTAATGACATATCCTCAATTAAGACCTCATTTTCTATCTTTATCTTTACTTGAGTACCCTCTGTCTTTTTATAATTTCCTCTAATTGTGCCATCCAAATGGATAAATCAGTTTTTTATAAATATTAAATAACAATGTGATTGCCCCATATCTATGAATTACTTTGCGAATTAAAGGAAAAATTATAAAAACCTTGTTAGATAATGTAATTTGAATTTTCAATTTACTAGTTGAGCTATCCTCAAAAATAGATGTAAAGATATGCGAAATTGTGCAAAAATAAGAATTATATCGAATGTCAAGCGAGCGAATTTTTAACTACATTACGACAGGAGACGATTCGGGCACTATTCATCTATGAGATGAGTTCATCCTTTTTCGTTAAGAGTGATAGAAAGACTAGTAGTTAAATTTTCCCACAATGATATGAGTAGACCTTACACCTTCAGTGAATTTTATTAAAAGGTATTTCTATCTAGGCTTGGGTGTACTCCAGTTTCTACCACGTCTTAACTGATCTCACCAGCACCCCCGGCAGGACTCGAATCATGAAACTGTAGCGAATAACCTTGGTACGTTCACTACTACGAGTGCCTCTTGGTCACAAAACAGATGTGAATTTCACAGGTCATGCATTTTTCCCATATTGTAGTGTTTGATGTGTCGAGCTTATACGTTGCAGTGTCATGATTCGAGTCCCGCTGGGGGTGTTGATAAGACCTAGGTGACGTCGAAACTGCAACCCATCCTGGATGAGAATACCTTTCGTGAAATTCATAGGAAGCATCAGCTTTACTCATAGCACTATTGGAAAATTCAATTACCAGTCCCCTTATAACCCTAAAGGAAGAAGGATGAATTTTTCTCATATATATCATCTGATAGTCTCGAAAATCTACTTATGAACTAAAAATTATTAATTAATTTTTAGTGCAGGTTTTGAAAATTCATTCCATAATCATGTAAACTATTTAGTTTCTTAAAACAATGGTTATGCTGCCTTCTGATTCATTATTCTAAATACACCATTATTCTACGGTTTTAGCGCGTAATATTTTCCTCCATTATCCCAGACTTGTGATTCTCTTCTTGCTCGACTTACTATCTAAGTGCAAACAGAAGCACCAACAATTGTAACAAAATTATAAATCAGACGACAAAGTTGAAAATTCTGAATCCGGAGCACATATCAAATAAGAATCTCAAATTATTTTCTATGTTCTATCCTCATTGATGAGATCTTCCAGACTCCTTGTAGCATTCCACAAGGTGTGATTCGCATTCGTTCGAAAGATCTATATATATATATTTACCCTTCCTTTCATTTTACTTTAGATCAGCAAAAAATTCTACACTACAATGATGCCCTTCTTCTTCCCAGAGAAAGATCAGCATTCACAACACCAGCAGCATCAACATCAAGCTCAGCAGCCTTTACGTCGAACTCCTCTACCTAATGAATCACCCGATCGCCAACTCTGTCCTCCCGTTGATTCTGCAAGCATTGACCTCCACTACCCCCTTTCTGTTTCCTCTACTGCCCTAGTCTCAACTCCACCCATCCCTGTTGCTTCGTCTCCGATTCTTGGGCATCCCCTTGCATTCTGCTTACCCATTGCTACAGAATCATCTTCACCTGTCGCTTGGAGGAAGAATCTGTCTTGCGTTACAGGCATGCAAAACGAAGGCGAGTTATTCAGAATATTTCCATTTTCATGCTTTAATGCCCATTTTTATTCACTGAGCTATTTTAATTTACCCTTACCTTTCAGCAACCTGTTAGTAGGCTGAAGAGAAACCCCAAACTAAATCTTTACATCTTGCCTTGCATCTTTCAAAGGCATGTTTTCCTCTTATGTACATTGTTAATCTGTGCACTATAATTTTCAACCTTCAGTGAATCAGGACAACAGGCGTATTTATACTTCCCGATTTTCGTAACTACAACCTTGAAGGTTGGCCCTTTGTCAGATTAATTATCTCAGATCTGTATGCTTATTATTTACCATTAACTTTGGGGCACTTGGGTTTTCAGATCCAAATTTTAGCTTACAATCCCAACGTAGCTCTTGCCTCATTTCACTTTGGTAACTGTGACATGCCATTTTTTGTCTAAATGCTCTCTGTATACCAAATGAGTAGACTTCTAAGCCGTCAGTATATCTTTTTATATGAGTTCCAGACACCTCAAGTTAATGGATAGGAAATCCTGTGATGCAAGGCCGAGTAAAATTCAATGGAATCTTGAGGCCCTCTACTTATCTTATTAAGTGGATCTCCGCTATCAGTCCTTACCTCACCTTAAGCCAGCTACGGTCTTTCTAGTTCTTTCAGCTAATCCTTTGATCTATGCTGGTTTGTGGATATAGATAGATTGGCAGATGTTACTGGAGTGGAAGAGAGTAGGAGAATTTTCTTAGGCGGACAGTGTGGCAATCCTGGTTGCTTAGTAGAATTATTCTTGCCCAAACATACGCGGCTTGGGGACGAGGATGCAGTGTAACTTCATCTGTCTTCCCTTGATACCTCTATTTTGATTCTCTTGCTTGCGCCTTAAATTGTACAAATACTTATTCCTAGAAGATTTGTATTCAGTTGTTGAGGCGCCTTGAAACACATAATACATCCTCACTTCTTGATCTCTCAAGAAATTAATCTTATATTTCCGATTATTTATTAGTATTTACAGCTAAGTATTGCAATTGATGTCAACATCACCTTTGTATAGTATGAGGTATGAGATCGTCTTTGCTTGCATTCGCTTAAAGCAAGGAGTATGTATTGAAGTAGACTTGCATCTAACAATCCTATGTAGTTCCCTGTTAGTCAATCAAACTTAATTTACTTGAGCCCCAAATTGACGCTTATTGCGTCCTTGACCTGTTCTGTGTTGCCTTCTCACACTACTTCATTTCCTACTTCAGCACCGACTGTTCTCCTTTTTTCTCATATGTTCGTTATTATTCCCTTTAATATCTAGTTAAACGAGTGGTCTAGAAAGCCAAAGCATATTACAGAATGCATGTCAGAACTCGTTATTTCAAACTATGTAACTTGCTGAATATGTGTTTAAATTCTCGGAGTTGACGTGATTTTCCTTCTGGGTGGAAGGGTGTTATGAAAAGGTTGTAAGTCGATCTCGCCAGTAGACCATGGCAGGTTATCCTAGATCCATTTTAGTTAGATTTATCTTGGACTTTTAAGTTGGCTCAGTCCTCAAGACATTCTACCTTGGCTTGGGAGAAAATGTAGCTTATCATTGTGTGAAAAATTTAGGGTGAAAACATCTCTTATCCCTAAAAATGTTGTGTTTAATCTTCAATATTTGTTTTACTCTTAATCCGTCTTAGTGGCGTTTTGACCCGATATTTGAAATGAGCTCACTTTGATAGAGCTCAAGCACATTGGTCATTGCTTAGCCTTTCAATGTTTAATCTCTTTATGAGAATTTTAGCCTTAATATTAGCAGCATAATTTACCCATAGCGACATCAGTGGACTCCTTATATTCGATTTCCGCTTGCTTCCGATTATTCATATAAGATAGAAATATAATTTTATTGTCTTCTATTTCTTCAAGAGCGTTATCCGCGTTCCTATCGTTCGAAGGTCAATCACAATGCTGGCTTTCATCGAGGTTCCTCCTGGCTTCAGCGCCATTTAGGGAGCATCAGAAGCCGGCATCATCGCTCTGAGCCGTTCGTCAGTCAGGCCCTAGGTTTCACTTTTGTCGGTTATGAGCTGTCTCTCGGTGGGGCTCTGGGTCGAGGTCTAGTTCATGGCCAGCATCTGCCGCCCACAGTAGGCAACAGATGTGACGGAGGCAACTATGTCCTTGGCCCCTCGGAAGCAGATCTGACAGTTGAAGCAGCTATGGCCGGTGGGTTTCTGGCTACCGACACGGCGAGTCAACCCTCGAAGGACATCTACCTTGAGTCAAGTTTTCCTGTGAGACTGAAATCCGAGGATGCGGACATATTTGAGGCGATTTCACCAGCATCTTTGATCGGACGTACTGCGTAGGCTATTTTTTAAACAATATTTCGTTTATCATTCAGCTCATTTAGTCTGTATTCATTGCCATAGAGTCGCATTTATTTAAATTCAACGCGATAATTACCATCTAAATGCCATACCATATTTAAGAAAACATCATTTATTCAATTTAATTGTTTTGCTCATAGTTGGTTAGACTATCGTGTTAACAATGACCGTTTATTGTGTCTATTCTTGATATTTTCGTTTTCAATAACTTCACTTTCATTTATTTCTTTTTTGCAATTTTGATTTCGTTCTCCTAGTATCATTTTCTCTGAGATTTTTATACATGCAGCAGATTTCTGGCAAGCATTTGCTATCTAGGTACGCTCTTTTCTCGAGCCGATATCACTCCTATGTTATAGTTCTGTTTGTAAATTATCAAACCCGAATACCTGCATGCCTTACATGGCAAATCCATCTCTTTCTCAAACTATATGTAGCCTTATCGAGGCCTGTTTTAGTGCGCCCGGAAACTTAGTGTTGCCAATTTTTGAGCTTACTTCTATTTCGAGTGGAGATGTTGGGTGAAGAGATTCGAAGGTCGGTTCCACGAGAAGACGATGGCGGATTTCTCTTGACCAGCTGTCGATTGGCTTTGCTGGAACATTCAGGCTGAGGCCGTTTCCGAGGCAATCTCCTTCGATTCTGGTGAAAAGGCGCTAAGCCTTTGTCCGTCATTTGATGAGCATCATCGGAGCAAGGTATCCTCGTCACAACTAAATTCGAGCTAACGAGTCAAAAAAAGTCACCGGGAAATCCATGAAAAGTGGTATATATACTCTACATCTGACCTCTTTGATCAAATATAAAGTGATTTGGTTAGTTAAGGTCAACTTCGATACC